GGTAAACATTCATTAATCACTCAGGAATCCCCAGTTTGCAGTTCAATGATTTTATTTTATTTGTAGATTTGGTTATCTAATGTTCATTGCAATGGATCTGAGTCTAGCATATTTGATTGTAATTATGCGCCTTTGGGAAACAACAATTGTACTTCAGCTAATGATGCCAGTGTCATTTGTACTAGTACGTTACATATTCAATTTATATTATTATTAATAGACAATGTAACTTTGTATGTACACGTATAAATTAAGGCTTCAACAACTACTTTAAATTGAAGATAATCAAGTAATTGATTAGCCACACAGGCTTTGATTAAGCAATTAATCAATTTGTTGTTGTGCCTTAAGGTTGATTCTCAATATGACGCATGTGCATTCGTCACGACCGGAATTGCTGTATAAACCAATGGGAACATGCATCAATGCGTCAGATTAGAAAACATTTCTATTCTGATGCATTGACGCATGCTCCCATTGGTTTATATACATGTAGCACTTCCGGTCGTGATGCTGGAGCATGAAAAACAATGCATCATATTGAGAACCCACCTATGTGTGTACATACATGTGCATGTATATTCTGTGACTTTATCTCACCCTCTCTCTCTCACTAGATATTCCTATTAATCCATATCCTGTTAGATTAGCTGATGGTATTAATGATCACTCCGGTCGTGTCGAGATATTTTATAACAACGAGTGGGGGACCGTCTGTGATAATCATTGGACTATGAATGAAGCTAACGTCGTATGTAGAGAACTAGGATTCCCTGGTAAGAATTAATAGTAATTTATTCTATTTTATACATAAATCACAATTATAATTTGCAGGTGGCAATTTTTAATGTATTTCTTTATTTTTATTATTTCAAAGAATAGAGAGAGAGAGAGAGAGAGAGAGAGAGAGAGAGAGAGAGAGAGAGAGAGAGAACTAATAGCTTTAATAGATAACAAGTGCTTGTCTGATGTATCACAACATTTATTTTTAAAATCCCAGCTGGTGTATTTTAAATACATTCCTTTCTTAATGATTACAGGTGCTCAAGATGGCGGTGCTCTTGGTGGTTCAGCTAGTACAGCAGGTAACGGTCACATTTGGTTAAGCAACATAAACTGTCAAGGAAATGAGTACTTCTTGCATCAGTGCAGCCATGATCCTTATGGCAGTAACAGCTGCCAGCACGTGAATGACGCTAGAGTGATATGTAAAGGTATGATAATATTATTGGTTTTTTTCAATTC